GGACACCTGGTGGCCCCCGAACGCACGCCTCTTCCACTCGGGGATGTGGCTGGGCGTCACCCCAATCCCTCGCATCTTGGCCGCGATCTGCGTGCCCTGGGCTTCAGGCAGGGGGTCGACCCAGTGCTTGTGGAGGCCCGTGCGCATGGAGTCCATGTTGGCCTCCCACTGCAGCGCCTGCTTCAGTTCCCGCCGCACCTGGGCCAGCGCGCTCTGCATCATGGCGGCCCGCGACAGGGAGCCGTCTGGCTTCTTCACCATCTTGACAACGGGGCTCGTGTCCCCGCTGCTGCCCTTCATGAGGTCCCACAGGAACGGGGGCTCCTCGTCCACCAGCTCGATTTCCAGGTCCTCGTCTTCCTCGCCGTCCAGCTGCAGGAGGATGCCTGTCTCCTGGTCAAAGTCTGGAAACTCCTCTTTGGAGAGGACGTTGGCCACAGTCATCTGCTTGATCTCCCGCTTCTCGAGATCCGAGATGGCTGTGATGGGGCGCTTGCTCTCCAGACAGTCGTCCTCCCCCTCGGGGGCGCCGACGAGCAACAGTTGGCTGGGTCTGTCTGGTTCCCCCGTGCAAGTCTCCTCCCCGGCCTCCCCGACTAGGTTGTGCCACCGCCGCCGCTGCCGCTGCTGCGGCTGCCGCCTCTGCTCCTTCCGGTCTGTCGGGGGGCTCTCGCTCCTGCCCCCGGGCCGATGTCCGGACCTGTCTTTCTTCCTCTCCGGGGTCCGGGAAGGAGACCGCCAAGAGCAGGAGTGCTGGCTGTGCCTGCATTCTCTGTCTCTGTCTTTGTCTCTGTGTTGCTCTCTGTCTGGGTCCCAACCTGGGTCCCAGTCCAGGTCCAGGTCCCGGTCCCAGCCCTGGCCCTCTGTGGCGCTGGGCATCAGGGCCTCCAGCTCTCTCAGGATGTCCGTGGTGACCTTCACCTCATCCTCATCCAGCATGGTGCCCAAGGCGATGGAGGTGGCGGCAGTGGCGGCCGCAGCCAGATTGTCTGGCCTGCACTGCCCCGAAAACAGCTCCTTCTGCATCTCCTTCTCGCTCGTGGGCTTCACCACGGGATCTCGGATCCTGGATGGCGTTGCCGGGACCCGTATGCTCTGGATGAGGCGCAGCAGGTTGCGGACCAGAGAGTCCGTGAATTCCGCACCACTCGTG